TCGTCTGCAGAACCATAGCCCATGTGTTGTGAGGGCTGTTGGTGGGAGCGAGCTATGAACAGGGGAAGGCTGTGGCTTCCTGCTGATGAGCGTCTTGGCACGCTGCTGTGGTGGTCGTAGTCGAGAGAGCGGTGACTGTGTTTTTGCTTTTCTGCCGAGTTGGTTCTTGTGAAGAGGACGCGCTGGCGAGGATCGGTAACAAAGGACTGCCTGACCTGTCGGCGAGAAGCAAATGCGGAATGCTGCAAGTCGTCCTCTCTAGACGGCCGCTCGTCTGCAGCATCATAGTCCGTGTGTTGTGAGGGCTGTTGGTGGGAGCGAGCTATGAACAGGGGAAGGCTGTGGCTTCCTGCTGATGAGCGTCTTGGCACGCTGCTGGGGTGGTCGTAGTCGAGAGAGCGGTGACTGTGTTTTTGCTTTTCTGGAGTGCCTGTACTTTGGAGTGAGTCGTTTTGTTCTGTCATGCTCCCTGATTGGTCTTTTGTGAGGGCAGCTGGATTTGGTCGACCGTGTACTTCGTTTGCTAGGAATATGTTGGTCGTTGTGTGTATATATGTGTCGTACTTTTTTTTATTGGGGTCTTTGGGTTTGTCTTTCTCTGCGGTGTTGCTCAGGGACGTTTTACAGGGTCGTTTGTCAGCTACCATGCAATTAAGAGTATTGGTCACGGTATGGAGAACCGGTGTTTCACATGCATTTGGCTTTTGCGTCGAAGCCTCAAGTTGTCCAGCTTGTTGAGCATAGTTTTCTCCTCCCTGTGCATTGGATATGCCTGGTGATCTTGATAGGAGAGAACCCATCTGCCTTGGACTACTCTTTGAAATATCACTCGACCCGGTTTGTTGTTGTAAGTTTGTAGGATTTGCCTGTTTGTTTCCGTTCTGTTTGTCTAGTCGCTTACGCCCACTGGCATCATTGTTTGCTTGAAGCTCAGGGTGGTCCTGAATGCTATGCGCGGACAATAAGCTCAACTTTGGGGCTCTTGCGTGTGGATGGCCCTCAACCTGTGCTGCTACATTTTGAGAAAATCTTTCAGGCGAATTTAGTAGCGTCTTATGACTTTTCACAGAGTTGTTGCAACTGGTGGCAGCATCTGAGTGGTGAATCGCGCTAGCCATGTTCGGCGCATTAGGTTGGCGTGGTAAAGACCGTTTCTCATCGATTTCTGACGCCCTCGGCATTGCATAACCGGCAATCGAAGGGCGCTGATTAACTTCAGCTGCACGTGAATGCACATGGTCAGATGTATGGCAGGTCCCATTGTTGAAGGTGTAATCTACTGATCGGCAAGGTCCATATGAGCTACCGGATCGGGGGGAACTTCTGTGGGACGTTGCCGGCTGATCAACGCTTGAAGCGCACAAAGTCTCAAAGTCGGCCTGCACCCATTGAGGGGATCTACTATGTGTGCATGTATTCATACAATTGGTTGGCTTGCATTCTGTTGGCCGCGTGGAAGGGACTCGGTGTGTTTTGACAATTGCGACCAACTCTGCGTGTTCCAAAGTCCTCGTTGAGAGGGATACAAGCCCCTCTCCTGATACATCGCGCGAAGTATTGCACAACCTTTTGCAGTTTACTGGGTTCATAGTCGTGGCTCCTTTCCCTCTTTTTTGAATGCTAGGCAGCGTGCGGTGTCTGAGCTGGGAATCGTCCCTACCATCCCTCGATGAGGTACAAGGAACAAACAAGTCTAGCTCCTTTTGGATTACATCTGGTCTCCTCTGTCTAAAGCACCTACGCTGAAGTTTCAACCAGATGGATGCAGAGCTGCTCCTGAAGCGAGACCCCGTGGGGTCACAGAGTGGTGTAGAATGAGTGAGCATACTAAGGACCAGCCTTTTGTGACTGCAAGGCACTCCCTTGCACTGCAAACGCGGTAGGACTGCTTGGGCGTATTGTATTAATGCAATTTACCTGGCATGCTGGGGCCGCAGGCCCATGGCAGTTATAGTCACAGTTGCCTGGAATGGAAAGTAGAGTCCGGCGCTTCGTACAGCGCAGCTAGAGCAGTACTTGCAACGATAATCACCCATTATTTGAGAGGAATGGGGGGGGGGGGGAAATGCTTGGAGCCGTCCAAGTCAGGCCGTCGACTACAGACGCAGGCAGAGGCATCCACACTAGAAGAGCCGCCGGTCGGCGGCCGGGCAGCGCTTTTTGCAGTCTGCACCTCAATGCATGGCACATATGTGCTGTCTTCTTTCCCTCCGCGTGTTAAAAGACGCATGGACATCTGGAAGCAGCCAGCGAGGAGAGCGTTTCATCGCTGAATCCGGCGTTTCGGGGTGCGACGGTCCTGCGCATGCGCTGAGTGGCGAGACGCTATACTTTATCCGCGGGCAGACGTCCACTGCTGTCGCGCCCAAAGCTGATTTCTACCTCCAAAGAGTATCACGCGACTAGTCTGGATAGTCTCATGAAGCGGGCGTTGTGCTGAAAGAGGATGTTCCAGAGTGCCCCGGTGCGGCCTCTGGCCCTAGGCTTTTTTGTGGTCGTCAATGCTCTCTTGACCTTGTTGTGGTGGCGAGAAGTGCAAGTCGAAAGACACACTCTCCCAGATCCTTGCAGCTTCTCGCGAGTTCTAAGTCTGTCGCTCCCGCGGTCAGATTTCGACGTTGAAGAGCTCGCCCCCAATGAGCAAGAAGGGCAGGAGAACCCCTCTTCCGGGCTTTCTTGGGGGTCTTGCATCGTCTCAAGGAGTATCTTGAGACAGAGATGGCGTTGGAAGCAGCGTTCGGCGACTTCCTCGGCTACAGACACGCTCTTTGGAGCCTGCGGAGCGCCGTCAACACCTCCCGAGGAGCTGCTGCAGTGGACTGTGGCCCTCCGCATCGTGCCCCTCTGTATAGAAGCCCAGTCTGCTGCTCGAGACGTCTTCAGAACTCTGGCATCCATGGGCGATGCAGAGATTCCAACCGCGAATGGGCCCCCCGCTCACTGCGCCTCAATGGCTGTGGCCTCTGTGCTGGCAGCCGCAGGCGTAGAGGTACTGCCTTCGGGTTCAGGCAGCTCAAACGCGCTTCTGAACGTTTATTTGAACGCCGGATTGGAGCAGACGGATGCGTGTCCTCCCCTCTCTTCTGCATCAGATCTTGAAACAGCGGCTGCAGCCTACGCAGTAGCCGTTGAGCGAGTGTCTGCCGCCTTGCCAGAGACCAAAGTTGAACCTCCCGCGCTCCAGACACTGCGACTCCTCGTGTCTTCCGCCGAAGGGCTATCTGAAGGCCTGCCTATTCTCCACATTGGCTCTGATTCTTCCCTTGTGTTGCTTGTGCCGCGTACGGGCAACTCATCCGTGGACGCTGCAACCCAGAAAACTGCAGCCGAGGCAGTTATCCAAGCCTTAGGGCGTTGGATTCTTTCCCCTGCAGCTGTGAGCTTTCCGGCCGTGGGGAGCTGGCGAGTTCGCTTGTGGCTGCTTGGCGACGGTGTCTTCACCCCAACGGCCCCTTCCGCCTCCGACAACTCGAGAGCTGCAAAAGGCCAAAGGCTGCTGCATCCTCCACCGCAAGCCTTCGCCCCCGTCGGCGCTCCAACCCGCGAGGCAGCAGGTCGTTTGGAATGGGATGTCTCGAGAATCCTAAGAACTTCGCTTCGCGGCTTCTTGGAGGCGCTGAGCTCGCTGGTGGACCTCTCCTTCGCTTCGCAGGTACTCTTGCTAGGGATGAAAAAGAACGGGCTCTCTCGTGCAAGCGCATGCTTCGAGCGATTTGTAGCCGTACGTGCCTCAGTCGAAAGGGGTTTGCTGCGTACCCCAGAACCTCGTGCAGCTTGAAAAGGGATTGCGTTGCGCGCAATGCCGTGTGCCGCAGGTGGTCCCTCACAGCGGCCTGCAGGAGCTGGACTGGGCTCGCCTTAGCCAGCTGCTCTCAGGTAGTTCACAGGAAGCTGGGAAGAAGGCAGGCAGAGCAGAGGAAGCCGTGTTAGAGGAGACTCAACGACGGCTTCTCAACATCCAGGAACAGTGGGAGGCCGACCAGACCCCCTCTCCGTCCTCAAAAATCGTGAATCTGGGCATGTACAAGCCATCAGGGCAGCTTTTGAGTCTCCCGCCGCAGGAATTTACGCTTGCTGTGCCCTTTTGGGGGTTTCTGACGTTCGGAGCTCCTGCCAGTCAAACTGGCGAGTTTCAGAAGGACGGAACCAGTGCTGCTGCGTCTCCTCAGCCGCTGGACAGGCATGAGGCTGCGGCGCTAAGCGCCGCATGGATTGCACAGCTGCGCTCTCTGTTGGGCCTGCAACCCGAAAGCTTTCTTACAGACAGACGGCTGCCTGGTGCTGCTGAGGCTGCTGCTTCTTGCGCCATGCGCTCGGAGGGGCAGCATGCTGTCTGCGGCAAGCAGTGTGAAGATCAACGCTGCCAGTGGCGCCTACAGGCCGTGGACGCCTCCAAGGCCGTCTTTGGTCCAGACCAGCTAGCCGGTTCGCGTACTGCAGGCGCTGTGGAAGAATCTTCTTTAAAGCTGGCTAAGGCACTGCTCGTACATAGCGGCGCCAGCAGTGACCGTAAGGCTTTCGTGTATTTACACCCCAGCCCTCGGGGGATTACGGACTGGGAGCTGGGCGGTCTTGCGGCCGATATGCATTTTGCAATGATTAAACAGGCAGCAGAAAATGTTCGCGCGCTTTACAGCATCACCTCACTGCACACAGATATGCGCATCCCCGAGCACGTTGGACGAGCTATCAAGGTAGGCCTCTGTGCGGTTGGACCTTTGTGCGTCTCGCGGGAGGCGTTCATCAGCAAACCACAAGTGAAGAGAAGAGCACTCTTAACGCATTTATAGGGGGAGGCCCCGCGATAGTTAGGATGCCGCATGCGGTAATGCCATTTCTGGCTTATCGAAGGGTTCCCACGGCGTACCGAGGTATTAGGCAAAATGCGATAATGGTGCGCATGTGTGTATGTGTATGTGTGTGTATATGCATGTATGTACGTGCATGCGAGCGCCGCAGCACGTCCTGGATCAGCTCGAATGCAGTGTGGAGGCCTTGCGGCTGCGGCAGTGTGCTGGCTTGCCAGCAGCAGCGTTAGAGCTTTTGCAGCGGAGCAATGCGGATACTATATGCACCGCCGACAGTGTCTTTGATGGGTGCACTGGTGCATCAACAGGCTACCAATTAGATGAGGCCACGGCTTACAGACAGCTGGCGCTGCTTCTCGCCCGATCAGCACTGAGGGATTCCAGTGAGGTACGTCAGATGCTGAAGGCAGTAATCAAGACTTTTCGATGTTGAATACGTTCCGATGCCCCGCATTTTTGCGTGTGCAAAGGTATAAACGTTTTACCTAAACGTGCAAGGTGAAGACACTTATTTATACGCTTGAGGCCTTATATGCGTATTCTTTTGGAGCGATGCTTGCAGCTCTTGACCGATGGCAGTTTGGAGCCTGCACCTTTTTTCTCGTTGCATTTTAACCTGGCAATTCACATGCCCTTGATGCTCCCCTTCATTCTGCCCACGGTGGCTTCGATCATAAGGGCGACCAAGAGCATTGTCAAGAGGCGGAAGATTGTTTGACACCGCCAATGGGCTTCCGAGGGATCCTCCAGCGCGTATTACCACGCAGTATTATCCAAAGTTAAACACCACTTGTCGCATCCTCAGCCTCTTCGCAACCTTGTACTTCAGCACCAATTATCGGGGTATTTCAGCGGTTCGTGGAACAGCAGCTGCTTTGGCTTGACGGGTAGTGCTGCAGCGCCAGCATCATGGCTGCTAGCCGCATCCGTCGAAATTTTGCTGGTCCTTTTCACAGTGTACAAGTGCTTTAACAGCCGTAGGAATTGCTTTTGCCATCCAAGTATAAAGTTCCCTTGGCAAAGCACATTTCAGGAAGCGGATGACGTCTTTTGGCTGTATTTGCGACGCCGCGTTGGCTCAATAGATTTGCCATCTCTGTGGGTTGCTGAGGTAGTCATTTGCGCATTACTGGGCGTCAGCCAAGTCCATGCTGGCTCTGGAATGATGATCTCAGGCAGCCTCTTGGCTTTTTAAATTACCAAGTGGCTGGCATATAGTCTTCTAATCTCAGCTTAAAGTCCATCTGAGTTTAGTTGTCTATCTCATTGTGGGATACTTTACAAAGCCAACTGCACATTGTCGCGTGTCCTCCCACGGGTGCTTTTGCAATTGCCTCATGCGTGATGCAGTATACTGCTGTTACATTCATGTAGGACTGCATATTTGGCAAACAGTCGGGGCTGTCCTGGAGCCAGATGCTTTCTTCTGCAGGCATTTTGCAACGGCATTCTTGCATGGTTCGTTAAAGTGGCATGAGGTGCCATATTATAGTTTGGACTCACCTTATCTAATCGTTTTATGTAGCAATGCTGGTTCGCATGTCCACTTGCTTATATACGCTTGAGGCATTAGGACTGTGTAGCATGCCTGTTTGGTGGGCATCTAGGTCAGTTTCCACCTTGGTATTTACAGCACCGCCACTGTCTCAGGAAGGAGTGTGTGGGCGCGCATAACCGAGGGCCCACGCGAGCTTTAAAGGCAATATCCAAGAAACGTTGGTATGTGCTACGCATGATTGCTGTATATCTGTTACCTTTACCTGCGCGAAAGAATGCACATTTGACTCCTGGTGGTAATCATTCAGCAAGCACGAGGTGTATTTGGGCAACGTTTATGGATAGGAAGACAAAAAGCAGGTCAACGATGTTAGCCACATGGTCAATACCCTTTAGGACAAGGAAACATTCGCACGCATGAACAGATTTGAGGGATGCATGTAGGATAGGTTACAAAATAATTTGCAGGAGTTTGTTAATATAGATTTAGCGCCCTGCGTGACTTTCCAGCTTAAATTTCTCACCCCAGCAAGCGAAATCCTGCAGAATAGTACCATGTGAAGCCAATTTTATGGACGTTGTCGTCCCTACTTTGGAGTAAACAGACATAGCTATTGCTTGTACACACAAGCTGAACGGTCCACTATAACTCTCCACTGTCCACCAACTCTAGAGGATGCGATGATTTCTGCCATTTGTATCATAAGCTCCAGCCGCCTATTATTGGCAGGGTCTGTAGGGAGGACATTTAGTGAAGTCCAGTAGTTGTCCTCTACGAAGACGACGCACCCAGGAATCACCGAATTAGGTATATGGCCTGAAGCTGTTCTGTCAGAGCTAGTAGCATTTACTTCCGCCTGTGTGCAGTACAACTGTAGCGCTCCACCTATGTCAACGTTGGGAGACATATAAATCCAGACTCCCTACAGACTTGAAAACACCGCTGAGTGCTTCCTCTAAGAACATCCACATTTCCCTGCCGACGCCTCCCGGAGTTCCCGCCATGAGGGAAGGGGGGCAGCTAGGTTGCATGTGTGTATCTGCACCCTCTACGCGTTCCGACAAGTCACAGCTAGTTGCACATAAAATATACCTCACGTGCACACAATATTGCATCTTCTAGTGTCGATGTGACAATTAGGTACAATCAATAAGGTATGTGAATTGGTAATCAATTAATCAATTGGTCACCCATTATTATCTAGATATAACTGGTGTACAAAAGAGTACCTAAGTGTAGTTTTTCCGGCTAATATTCCTTCTTCACCCCTTTCCCGGCATTTCGAAAAACACGCCCGAGTGCTCCGTACCAATGCATTGCAATTAACTGCATGCAGTGCAGGGAAAGTTACCCTAACGTCATTCCCCATGTAGAAGAAACTGGAAAAATAAAAAATTTAGAATAGTAAATGCATGCAATAAGGGCAAAAAGAGGAATCGACGGTATGAAGGAGAACTACGCTAGCCAGCAACGAACGAGGTATCATACCAACAGTATCGTTGTGGCGCGACCGCTGGCTGTTCAAAGCGCTGGAATATGTGGGCCTTTCGCCGTAAGTGACCCGAAAGCAAGTGGGATTTGCAAATTGAAGCCAAATGCACACAAAAGCAGTGGATCCGCGCCTCGTAGCATCCATAAAGCATAGTCGACTCCAACTCGAAAGAGGCACGAGGAAGAAAGTACAGACAGCACACCTGAGAGCGCCTGCGGACGGATCAGAGTAAACAGTACACCTTTATAATAATACCTGGAAATTTTAAGCATTACTTATAGATGCAGATAAGAATCCCAGGCAAACTATGTGCCCGGGAGGGACAAATGTCAAGGACTGCAGAAAATATTGTCCACAGCAACTAAGCAAACAGATACACAAAAATTATCCCACAGGCAGCGAAACCCGCATTTCGTCAAGTATTTGGGTACACATCTCTATATATATCTCAACCGAAGCGACTTTTGTGTAGTGCGTCCTTGGCGCTCAAGAGTCCTAGAACCCAGCACCTAAGCGACTTCTGTGAATCGTCCGCCTCTACATGGGTCCCCCGCGTGTGTGACAAAGGCACTGGAAATCTCGGGAGCTTGGAAATTCTCCAAGAAAACGTGATCGGTATTGCTCTAGCTCCACAAACTTCAGGGATATCAGTAAAGCCAGAACACTGACTGGCGAGAGAATCACAAAAGGGCCAGCCACCTGGCCACAAGCTTCTTTCTGTGGTCACCTCAGGTGCAACTAAGCCTGCCAATACACCAGAACCAAAGCTTTAAACTGGAAATAGACGTTTGACCGCTGCCCATCGTATCTTCGTTATCGTATCTTCGTGCTTGTGTCTGTTAAGCTTCGCATATACGTTTGCGTGCATTAGCCAGCTGCTCTCTGACTCCCTTCGTTGCGAAGAATGGCTGCTGACCCCGGATTACCAGGTTTAGGCCCGGATCGGGAAGTTGCTTCTTATGTAGACAATGGACGAGGGAGGGCAACGGGTATACGGGTGCATATAATCGGTTTATAATAAACCTTTCGGGTAGACCAGGGTATTGATTTGTCGTAACGTAAACCCAGTCAGCACAGGAAAGGGACTCAAGCCGAGCAATTGGATTTCTCTGAGCAGAGAGTCGCAAATACTACGGAGGAGTACGATTGATGCACTCCGCCTACCTGCTTCAGTGCTTCGCAGTAGTCATGTTGTCGTCAAAGCGCAGGCCAGAAGCAAAGGCACGAAGGAGCCAACTGATGGACTTCGAAAGTTTAAGCGTTATGGCACTCTAGGGGTATCTGTCATGCTTTCGGACATGAAGTAGGAATAATTAAGCGACTTCGTGCGCCGCCACAGAGCTAGAGCAAGGGATGAAATGGGCATATTTGCTGTGGCTGTCGAAGAAAACGTAGATGCTATCTTGATCTTGATATCCGGCGGTCCAGCACAAGAGTACACAGTCAGACAAGCACAACTCGGATCAGGAACTGGAAGGCTTTGCACAATGCTGGGTTGAAGAGAGTTTTGCGAAATGACCTGCGGACAATGTGGCCACGATAATGCATACCCCTTTACCGCGAACGGCGTCCCAGGCCATCAAAAGGACCGTCAGAGCTTTTCACTATGGTATGAGTCACACCATTGCTCAGACAGACGTGGCCACTTGGTTTGCCCGAAGCGGAGACGGAATGCACAGACGACAGAGTTTTGCCTTGCTTCAAAGAGCAGCAGGCGTCGGGCTACGTCATAGTGCTTCCCTCTTCTGACATTCTAAAGTTTTACATCAGTAGTGGATTCATGGGTGTCACAAGCATTGGACAAGCAATTTCGACAGACATCATGTGTCTCTACAGACCAGCGCAGTTGTGGTGCACAATGATGACTTCTTTGGCACACAATCCTTCTGGGACTTCAACGTAAACACGCATGCAACATCTTCGTTTCTGCACCAACACAGAAATATGCTGGAAAAAAGCACTACCCGATTCCTCAATTCTCCCTGTGTCAAGAAATAATTTTGCCTGCTACCCTAGCTCTTTTTCATGCTGTGGGGGCTTCAGACATCGCAGAATATGGCTTGATGCTAACCCGTTGATTAGCTTAGTACATAGTGCTAGGTCACCAGCAGGTGGCAAGCCTGCTGGCAGCTCATCATGATTTTGTATACCCTTGAATTTCCACCTTGGTGTCGTTTCCCAATACGACAGTCTCTCCGCTGCAACCTCATTCGAGTGTCTTAATATGGGACCAGTCGCAAAGCCTTGGAGACATGATGCACGATCGATCCGTCTTCCCTTACTGCGCTGCTGAGCCCCCGGGGTAAAGACTTCGCTTCACCCTGCTGACCTAAGAAATCTACTACGCTTACCATTGATAAGATGAAGGTTTTAGAGGAGAGCAAATTCTTTTTTACGCTTGTAAACACACTAATCTCCACAGCCTGCAGCTGTGGCCCCATGGGCACCCACTTCGGTCTTCTAATCTAAAGGCTGCGAATCGCGATCCCGCCATAGGCGCTTTCCATCAAAAATAGCTCTTTGACACCCGAAGTGCTCCACCTCCTCAAGTCAGCCCTTTCCTGTGCCAGACCCTCAGAAATCCCGCGACGTTTTGACTCGAGGTATTCTATACCTCTTGCCTGTTCAGCTGTGCACAAGTACCATGACTTTCTCTGCATGACCCTGCTATGGGTCACGCATGGCGTACATAGAATTGCGTCATAGAGCATCGATCTTAAGTGGAAGCCTCGGAGCTCGCTGCCAGGACCTAAGTTCGATTTTGAGCAGCTTTTCCCTGCAACAATTTTGACAATATTTGTGCTCTCCCGCCTGTTAGCAAACCTGAGTTCTAGGGCCTGCGCTATTGAGCACCCGTTAGTGTGCACCGTCTCTCCAACCAGCCCTCTTCATAACCATTGCCAAGCAACGATAGCTGCTCTCAATCTCTGATGATTTCGTATCAGGGCAGCATGGGCTGGTGGCGGGTATATACATTGCCGCTGTTCATTCCACAGTCCTCCTTCGCTGCACGGCGGCCTGCTTGGGCGGCATTCTGCGTCCCAGATGTTCTTGTTTGTTTACCGAGCAGCCTGTATCCACTGGGCCCAGTCCGTTTTGAGCCCCTTTTGTGTGGAAAAAGGTTTCAGGGGTCTGACAGTGTTTTGGCTGTCGGTTCTTTCTTCGAAATCGTCGAGACAACGCGTCCCCACCAACCGCACCGTGCAGCAGCGCCTGCAGAGCAGCCTTCCTGCCGTAGCTGCCTGCACCTGCCACATCATATCAGTGCTCGTATCATGTGTGCTTTCCTCCTTCAATGTAAAATTGCGTAGGGGAGGGTTTCCACGCTAGAACTGGGCTGTTCTTTACTGAGTCGCGCTGTGGTCGCATGCCAGCCCCAATCGCTTGCGAATGGCTTCGCGTTTGCACTGACCTTCGATGCTCTCCTAGAGGATGATTCCTTGCATCGCTAGCATCTAGTAGTCACTGAAGTGCTATCTTTTAAATTTTCACTGTCCTGTGAGCGTTTGGGGGCTCCCTGACCTTTTATTGCTGGGTTGCCCGGACAGGTTTTTTTGAAAACGCGAGCGCAACTTCGTGTGCCACACTCACAGCCATGGCTCGGTGTTTTAGAAAAAAAACTCCGAAGCAAGCTACCGGCATGCTACATGCTATCGTCCATTTGCTTGTAAGCTATAATGAAGCCTAGCGCGGCTTTACATCAGCACTTGACCGTCCTGGTGTTACTAGCGCATGCATTCCAAGTTGCTTTATCACAGATTGATGTAAATCCTGCCGATAATGATGAAGGCCGCGAGCAGACGCTCAACGGAGTGGGCGAGCAGTCGCATCTTGAAGGACCAGGATTAGAGGTCGCTGGACACTCAGGACCTGCGAAACCGCAGGCTCCGGAGGATGAAATACCGGAAGGCCTTCCTCGTTATAACAATGAGATTAAAAGTGGAATAGCATTTGATCCGATGGGAGCCGATGCTCCTATTGTGGAGGGAGAAAGCTCTTCCCCAAGCAGACGGAACAAGAAGGACAAGCGTGTGAAAGGGACTAGTCGATCCCACTTGCATGACAGCCATGAAGATTCCCCGGAGCTGTACTCGCGCGAAGACTCTTTGCTGACCCTGTCAAGTGACTCATATGCCGTAAGACGCCCTGGTGTCCCCATCTTTGTGTCGAAACGGGTGGCGCTTTTCACGGTGTCTGCAATTTTACTTCTGGTGTGGGTGGTACACCAGATAAGCTTATACAACCGCGCCGCGGCAAATTTGACATTGCTGCAGAGTAATTATAAGCAGCTTATCTCGCAGCTGGAAAAGTTGAGTGCCGCAGCCGAAAGCCCACAGGCCACCTCGAGCCATTCAAGTGGTGCGCGTATACCTTCACGACCGGAGGAACAGCCCGTTGCACACCCTAGTCCAGAGCTAAAAGAAGACGTATGGAACGCTAAAAATCTGGCCGAACTGAGTGCCGTTCGCTCCCGGATCGCCAATCTGCAGCAGAAGATTGAAGATCTTAGTCGGGCAGCTGCCGACGGCCATGGAGTAGGGGAGACAGCAGGTATGAGATTTCCCGTGTTTATTACGGACTCCGAAGCGCAACTTTTGAGTCTACGACTGGAGGCCACCATGAGAAGCTTAGAGAAGCAGCGCAAAGACTTAGAGGAAATCGTGAGTTTGAAGGAGAAAATCAAAATCAACGAGGATATCATGAAGCGCGGCGTAACTCAAGTTTTGGCACCGGTTGCGGACCTGGGTCTATCAGGGGCGATGAGAGACTTAGTTATACTTGAAAAGGCTTTCGCGGATATTCATGATTCGGAAAAGGTCGCTCAGGTGAGGGAACTGAAGGAGAAGCTGACTGGAGCGATTCAAGGTATGATAAGGGCCTGCCCACAGACCCCAGGCCTGGCTGAGGCGTCCCTTTGGATTGAGAAAGGCAAGCTACTAGAGCAGCTTGACGAGAGGAAAAGAGATGTTGAGGCATGGCGCAAAAGCATTGAATCCGGATCTATGTCAGTGGTTCCACGCGTAGCGTCTGCTGTCCGGACGTCTGCCCATATGATAAAGCAGGCTGCTGGCTCCCTCCTCTTTGGGCAGGGAGACGGTGTGCAAGCTCAGATCAACAAGGAGGTGGCCATGCGGGATGCGACTCTGGCTCGTGCGAACGAGAAAAAAGCGGAAGATGATACGCTTGCTATGCTGGAGAGGAAGCTAAGGGCTGTCAAAGGTGAGCTGCAAGCCGAGGAGGCGTTGGCACATCTGCATCATTCTGAAAAGGAAGTGTTCAAGAAATGGCTTGATCAAAAATCATCCAAGGCGGTGAAGACACTAGAATCTGTTATCACCTCTCTCAGCCTCCTTAAGCTAGACGAGTCAAACTTACACAGTATGCCCGGTAGCTTGTACATTTCATACATTTCTGCCCATGAAGCTGCCACGGATGCAGCAACCGCTGCATTGAGCTATTTATCAAAGGGTTAGTTCTTCCGCAGATTGCGCACACACGACTCTTCAACTGGCCTAAGAATATCATACATGGATGCTCTACAGGTTACGAAGGCCCTCGCATGCATCATTAGAAGCGCACACCTCGTGTCACTCCCTAGTACTCAACCGCAGCCACCTTCTAGCTTTGTGCGCCATTAACGTCTGTGTCCATTCCATCGATCGGCGGTGGCAGGTGCTGCAGGGTGTTCTGACGCGTATGCGAAATCTTTCACGGGCTGAATACCCCTACCACTCATAACACAGATGTCAGGGTAGGGCCCTAGACTTGTTGGTGTTTTTAAGGCTATGGAGCTCTTGATTCTTACGCCCCCACTGCCAGCCTGACACTAGGGTAGTTCTACGTAGTCTATGGCATTGTCCTGTATTTCGCAAGGGCTGTCTCTCATTTCTATGCGGCACGCGTTTGTGGGCACTGAGAAACATTTAAAAGGTATCTTAGGAATTGTCCTGCTTCAAAAAGACGTTGAATTGCCGATGATGACTTTCCGTCCCCCACCAAGTCACCGGCTATCCGTCCGATGGCCGACAGCCTGTCGGCAATTTTGCATTCATACTAACAGCGTACCGCTGAGCGGAGCACATTCTGCTTTAATCCGTCAGTTTAGTCTAAAACATACAGTTCCTCACATTTGGGCTAGGGCTACGGTTCGGTAGAGACACTGAGCAACTTCTGGCTCTCCTCTTCCAAGTCCACGCGTTGGAAGCGATCCGCGCCCGAGTCTAGTTCCTTTTTTGTCTGTTTGTTAAAAAGACCGCAGAGAGCCGAAGTGGCGAAAAATGCCAGGAAAATGAAGATAATTTGCGCTCCCATGGCGTGCAGGCTCGCAAAGTTGAGGATCAGTACTTTCTGCCTTGCACCGACTTCCAAGATTAGGCGTTTACTGAGCATCACCAGCAATGTGACAGCCAGAGGGAGTACAAGCACAGTTATAATGGCAGATAAGAGGGCGAAAAAGGGTGCACCAGCAGCACTGCCGGCCAAGGCACTGATGGCTGCAAAAAATGCTGTGATGCCCTCTACAAGAAAGATGATGCCCATTTGGTTCATTTTTACCATTGGGTCATCTGAAATTTTAACCCAAAATATGCTTAAGTCTAGAATTGTAATTGCCAAGCAAAACAGACTCCAGAGTACAGCTCCATGTTCCAGAGAAAGGCCGACTCTCCAGTTACCAATGCGACTCATTTTCAGGCTCCTTTCAGACAAAATTTCAGTCTTTTTCTGCGGCGAAACAAGCTCCTCAAAAGACTTCCCCTCAAACCCGGTTCCTCCAGCGGCGTAAACATTCCCTAATGATGCATAAATCTTCGTCATTGGCACAGCCGTTAGAATGACATAGAGCAAGTCCACATTACCCCATACCACCAATTCGCCCACAGTGGCGTTTACTGAAAGAAGCATGATACCAAAGGCCGTCCACAAGTAAAGTAGAAGAATCAAGCCAACAAAGGAGCTGCAAATATTAATCCAAGCCAAAACGTAGGCCACTCTCCGTGATTTTAAGCAGAGAGCAATGTCCGTAAGAACACTGACCATCAAGAAGATAATGGCGAGGGAAAGAAAGCCAACACGCAAAGCCGATGCAACTGCTGTGCTACGTTTTGCATAGGCTTCTACTGCAGCCTCAGTTAAGCTTCTTTTCCACGGGAAGACATTCAAGAACAGCAAGAGGTTCCATGCTCCGGCGACAGCGAGAATGAAGGAATGCGTCCACGCCGCCGCTCCTAGAGAGAGGCAATACCTCCACGGCTCTCTCTTTGAACACATCGTTACCATTTGTATTGCATTTCAAGAACATGTAAGTGGTAGAGAAGGCAGCGGTCGTGATGTGGAAACAACCGCGAGCTCCGTTCCTTTCGGTGAAAATCCCAGGTTGGGACACAAAATGAGAAAGGGAGCAAACAAAATATCCACCAAATCAGAAAGGCTTCTGTTGTACAAAGCCCTGATACTCTGGCAGTTCAAGGGTGCACGTTACTACTAATCCTTGCAAGTCATCCGACATTTGGAGCCCCAGAGGCGGCAGTGCCGGCGCTTGGCGGCTCGGGGGGCACAATCGGTTGGCGGTCTTGTGCCCAGTCCGGTATTCAACAGGTGATGGAGAGACATAACCAAATTTTTCTGGTTTTGCTGACAAGTCTGTATTCTAAATATTTACATGGTGGCATGAAGTTGTCTGTCAGCGCCGTCGCCTCTGAACGGCCCGGTGAAGTCGAGCCACTTGGGGGAGGCGCAGCTATTCCCATGAGCGCCAGTCGCAGGCAGGGCTCCAAAATGCATCAAGCGAATACAGGTGTGTATAATCTAAAACTGCATGCTAAATCTGCGTGAGCCCCAAAGTATCGCAGGTCACACCATCATCAACTTCTTAGGTCGAGGGACAACAGAGAAGAGATTTTGCAGTGGGCGGAGCGAGAGGAAGCTGGCCACAACTTTGTTTAATCCACTATCACTGCCTTTCCATTTGAAGAACGCAGTGCCTGAGAAGTACACATCGAACCGAAGACTGCTTCCAGGGGAACCAGGCAAGGAGGAAAACTGCACTACGTTATCGTGTTGGCTAGGAGCGGTTCCCAACCATGATATCAAAGAAATTTTCGAGCTGTTGAATGCTTGCTGCCAGATATATCCTTCCTTTCCTTGCCTGTTCCCCATAGTGTTCCGACGCGAGGGGAGACAGGAAGCAGGTTGCTGCGTGCTCTAAGTACTCTTAGCCTTCGCACTCATTTGTGCATCGTACCTAAGTGTAAAAAAACATAGCATTCATTCTTATGGAATGGGAGCAGCCAGACTGCCCAACAAATGTCATTTTCCAAAAGCCAAATCATCCAGAAAAAACTTGACTAGATACCAAGAATACCTGTTTGAGCGAAGAGTACCCCTGTAGCTGGTGCCGCTACAGGAATGAGAGTTACCGTATAGAGAACTATGTCAATTTCTGTAGTCGCAGGTAGCTGTACCTACTGACTGTCTGTGTTGGCTTCCCTTGACAAAACAGGGCTCCAATTAAGTACAAAGTGGACTTTGCCAATGTTAGTACGTCCGCAGCCCCTCCGCAAACGTATCACTGACAGCAAATCATATTCCTGCCGTTTGCCACGGTTAGACCTGTCAGCATACGTAAATAGACGAAAGTCTGATGTCGATATGGACGGGATGGCTTCACAGGCCCGGCATTTCTGTATAAAAGGGCACCTAAGGGACAGTCAAAGCTGCAAACTGTGGGCATCTTGCCTTTAAGAATCTCCTCACGAGTATCTTAGTTAGGTCTTTAAATATACTGACTTTCTATACCACCAATTGCTCCTTTTGACTTATAGTAGAGCGAATTTCGGTATATCTGTTTGAGCAGCATGTGACGGAACAATTAACATGTGCATTGCTAATTTGAGGTTTTTCCAGAAACCCTTAAATACACTCTAGCTCTGATTAACTACACTTCTTTTTGCTATAGGAAGACCGGCAGTCCGCTGATGCACTTCGGGACCACTTCCGGAAAGTGTAGTAGTCTACTGTTCTCGCGAGGGCCCCACAGGAGGTTGTGTTCAGCTTTATAGAGGACAGAGCAGAGACATGGAAGTTGACAAAAGCATGTATGAATTTTTCTTGCACATCAGTAAATACTGATCTATCCAATTGCAGCCGATGCACAAGTCACTGCGCTCCAGGTACAACCGTTTACATGGAGTGAGTTCAAGTGAGCCTCTCATACTCAGAACACCAGATTTAATATGCGCGCTTGTCTAGTAACATATCTTTAGCTGATTGGGCCCAAAATACCGCAGTTAGCTGCGCACTGTTGCATCATCAGAAAGCCCATGCCCGCTGTCCCCTGTCGTCGCGTCCTTCTTTGCGCTCGCTAAAATTTCCCACACGCTCCTCAAAAAGAGCTCTTGTAGGGATCATAAACATACTGGGACATTCATGAAGCGCATATAATTTTATTTGCTTGCCAGTGATACAATACGACAAAGCAAACCCTCGAAGAATAGTTCTTTGGCATTTGGCATTGTGCCTGGATTAATGCCGACTCACAAGAAAATATTAGAAAGTAATCATTTCAAAGGGTGTAGCCCGCAGTCTACAGAAGCAATTTACGCTCTTGCTATCTTGTGGAAATGACGCAGGAAAAAGAAAGCAATGCAGTGGCAGTCGTTTCACTGCCTGCCGCAGCAAGCGGCGTTCTCTTCCTTTTAATAAACCCCAATGGCACCAAAACAAAGTGCAGCGCCTTGTGACTAGCTACAGAGTTGCTTCTGTAAATGGCTACCTTGCTTGCTGGATTTGGCGTCACCAAGTGTCAACCAGGACAACAGGTAGCTTTCATGACCAACGCCGAGAAAAAGCGGCATGCGCAGCCGCCGTGGGGCCGCGTTGCACAGCACATACTTGCCGCCTTGAATTCTAGAAACAGAAAGTCACTGAATGCTGCAGCGCGAGCAGCACTTGCTTCCGCTGACCTGTGGAACCCCCGAGTGCGGCCTTGTCCCATCCAGCCCCTTTTGCTGAGTGGATTGTGCTTCAGTCTCCTGAGCCACAAAAAATAGTCAAACAACGAAAGCTTATAGGGAAAAAATTCAGGCAACCCATCTGTGTCTCCCAACAGATCGACATCGAATAGATCTCAATAGAAGTGCCTGCCACCCCGAAAAATCCCAGTCCGAACTGCACACCACGTCCACTGCACTGGTTATGCCAAAAAGACACCGTTATTGAGGTCGCAAGGGCGCCAAAGGACTGGAAGGAGCTGAGCGCGATCTCTACTCCTCCCCGTCGGGTCTACACTAGTGTCATACGATTCCCCCTTCCGGGAAAATATGATGGACATCTGTACCGAGTTTTAACCCGGTGCTGAAAATCATCTGGACATGGCGGCGCTTCTCGCAACCTAGTACACTGCCCAGGCACATCTAACAGATATATGCACACTTGTTGACTGATCGGTGCCAGTGCAAACCATCAGGACCCCATTCCCCGCAGCAGGATCATGCAGCCACCTGGCACTGCTCATAAAGCTATTGCCTCTAACCGCAGCCTATGGTTATCTGTGCTGCGTTCCGGCGCAAGAATGCAGCGGCCCCCTGTTAAGGCGTCAAGAGGTCAGTCGCTGCCTCCCAAAGTCTTCAAAAGCTCGTCTCCAGCCGCCTCTCCGTACATCCGAAAGGCGGCAGTGGAAGGTCACACAACGGCAAAACAGCAGGCGCCGCACTTAGGCCCTTCCGCTTGATACACTCCCCCACAATACATTGAGGCCGCCAATACATGCACGTAGCCCACTCCTCTCGAATGCAGACAAAGACGGTATTCAGACCGCTTGCTAGGCGTTGTGTGGTTCGAAGAATAGTGATGACGCACGCACATGAGGCCCTCGTCACTGTATTGCAGGCTACTGCGGTGCACAATTCCCCGAATCTCAGAAAACATGTGGCCTCGGCAGGCAACTCGGTCAGCTTTTTCTGCAGCAGCACTCGAGGCTTCAGCCTTCGACCCCTGCAGGGTCCAGTTAGCGCCTGAGGGCCTTTATCCTCACAGCTGAATTAATTTCGAGGCATGAACTGTCCATGAAATACCGCCAGCACAGCGTAAGCAGCGAGGCAGGTTCACAGACACCCTCAACAACACACTGGGAACATATGGGAGGATCTGCGCTAAGAACTCACGGCTTGCTGCGGAGGAGGTGCGCCATTCACAGATGTCCCTTTCTTGAGCTCTTCGACGGCGTTTTCCGATGCATCCGGCTTTGTAGACGCTGCCAAGGGTGCATGACAGGTTCCTGCTTCGCAAGCGCTGTCTGGGCTTGCGTTTGTTGCCTTGTCCATCGCCTCTTTCGCGCCACTTTCCCCTACGCCGCGTGCTGCGTGTGCAACTTCAGCAGCAGCCTCTGCTACCCTCGCAGACTCCTGCGCTTGGCATCCTGCCTCCGGTGCTGCCTCTGCTGCTGCGGCAAACGCGGCATCTTCTGCCGCCTCAACGGCTCCGACTCCAGCAGCCACTGCTGCAGCTGTTTCCGGTGTCATGTCTAGACCCTCGTGAGACTCTGCGCTCCCAGCAGAGTCCCCCTTCTCCGTTTTTTGAACAGTCGCTTCAACCACGCTTTCCGGAGGTGGCAAGGACAAATCTTTAAACACAGAAAAGGCATCTGGCGCCCACTGAATAGGCATCCGACAGTCCTTTTCCCAGAGGACACCCATAGAGGTGATGCGGTCTGTTGCACGGTAGCCCCCCTTGTACGGATCCGCACGCTGCTCCTGCACGTTGTCGGGGAGCAAAGCACACAGCAAAAGAAGGAGCTCGTGAGAGAACAAGTCAAGACTCTTTCTAGGGAAAAGAGGGATACCATGGCGAGTGCAGCAGATGACAAACGGAAAAAAGTCGCCCGTTAGCCTCCATCTGCGCGCGCACGGGCAAAGCCAGGACCGTCTCGACCCCAACAGCTTCCCCTCAATAGTGCCAGAGCTTTTTCGCTGCAAAACTTACGCTGCCAATGGTGTACGGACCGGGAGCAATTGGGAACGGATAAAACTCGGTAATCTGCGCAGCAGGGTAGAGGGAACATAGCCACACCCGCAAACTTCGAAAAAACGCAGATACTGTAGCGGTAGAAGCTATGCATAAAAAGCCCCTTTTCGAAGCCCAGACAGCACCCGCCACAAACAGGTAGTCGTGGTGCACAAGAAACACGGCTGTCTCATGAAACGCACTTCTGGCCTGGTGCCTCCGTAGCACTTTTCCAGCTGCCAAGGTGTGTACTCCCGCATCAGCTCCTCCTCAAATCCAGTCCTGCAAGCCCGCATACCCCAACCTCTGGCAACTCATTTTGGCGACTACTACTAAGCGCAATGCTTCACTTTTCCACTGAAAGCTCGCAAGAAGGAGGCCTCGACGGCACGCAAAAAAGAGCTCCAATGCCCCTTCGCTTAGATGCAGTCATCCTATTCTTTATCACGCTTCATTGGTGTGTATGAGCATAGATCGATCGTCTTCTCTTTGAAGACGCGCGCGGGCAGGCAAAAGACTAGGAGGCCAATGCAAGATGACTGCATCGCCATCGAGTAAAGCGCCTCCCCATGCACCATAGACGCGGCGGGTGCATCGGCGTCGTGTAGATGCGCGAGTGGCGGAAACGAGACAGGGAGAGAAAGGGGCCTCCATACCTAAAGAAAAGCATTTTCTGTTGCTGAACTTCAGTCAGAAACTGCTTGGCGATATTCCACACGGTCTGACGCCCACACACGCACATGCATTCGTGTGCAGCGTCTGCTGTCTCGGCGATTCGCAGAGAGGACAGCGAAATCGAGAGTACATTCCGTGAAGAGGCCACTGTTCAATCTAGTGGGAGCTGAGGCTCTCAAAGAGCGCAGCAGGGGAGAGCATTCGCATCAACTGAAGAAGAGCAAGCGGGCAGCAGCGTCCTACCTGTACAAAGAAGGAGTCGTTGATTATGAGCATCCGGTTCAGGCGGAAGGGGTACTGCTTGGTGAGCGTGCTGGTCATGTCTGTGAGGGCGCTGATGGGAAACTGGTGAAGCGGAACGCCGCGCACGTCCAGCAAGACTGTAATGGTCTCGACTACTCCAGGAATCACTGTACAAGCCAACACACACGTCATATAGAGAAAACGGCAATCTTGCATCCCCTCCTTCACCCTCTGTTTGAACGGACTCCTTTTTCCTCTTGGTTCTTCTTTCAGCAATTTATTGGGTGCGTGTTGTTGCTCAGTCTACGCTCTCTCTCTCTCTCTATCTTTGTGACCGTTTCAAAGAACGCAGGCTGCCTGCGTTCTTTGAAAGGCTGCTCTTGTTTGCAATCCTTGACAGCATCCCAGGCTTTCCCCTGCCACTTTCAGCGAATGCAAAAAGACTCTCGAACCACGTCCGACGCTTCCCCGCATTTCTTACAGCACGAAGCCTTCTTCCCCCCCACACAGACAAACTGATGCAAGTATGCAAGCAGAACATCTCTAAAACTCGTCATTCCGCCTGCTACCCCAACGGGGATCCGCCGCTCTCCCTCGAGATGTCTGTTTTCGCTCTCGTCGAGCTGTGCGCAACAGATCTGACTTCCCAAATGCCCTGGCGTCTCTTCCCTTGCACGCACTCCGAGCGCCCACCACCCTTGCCTTGCCAGTTTCGCTTTCTGCTGGTGCTTACTCAAGTAACGCAGACCCCACTCGAAGCAGAATATGGTGAGTCTTTTGAAGGCTTCCGGAGAAACCGTCTTGCTCAGTCTGGCCAGTCTGGACGAAGCCACACACAGACATTTCTTACATGCAAACCTTTCCGCGAATATCAAGGAGGCTTTCGGAGAGCGCAGCGTGCCACCACACGGGGAGGACCGACCATAACCGCCGCAGGAACCCCATCACACAATCATGCGGAGGGAAGAAACCGTCAACAACACAGTAAGACGGCACAGCAAACGATAAGCACTACAAGGAGAACATGGGGATACACCCAGGGAGCGCGTGACACGCCACGCAGCAGCATCACATGCAAGAAACCTCCGGCGAGGTCGGGTGTCCGTGCAGGAGCACGCAGGAGAGAAACTGGAGTCTTCAAACAGCAAGATCGACGCCTAAAGGAACTATAGAAAGCCCACTTGATAAGCAATAAAGGCCGCAAGTGCCTGTCTCGTCCCACCCAGAACATGACCCCCTTGTCTAGCATAGCCCTCATTTCCTCTTCCCTGTCACTCAGCGGGAAAAATCCCTCCCGCCACTCCACCATCGCCTTAGCCAAATCAAAGCTGAGGGGAAGCGCGCACGCATTCCAGAAGCAGCTGGCGAAAGAAGCGCTTTCAGGAGCCAGCCTAGCTCTTCTTCCCGGCGTCCCCCTTTACTTTCCCCCGCCTCCCCAGCCCCCGAAGAGGATGTGTGTGACTCTTGCGGACCGTCAGGCATCCAGCCTTCCCTTTGGAATGTAGGATATTCTACGATTGACAGGAGACCATGGATCGTAAAGGCAGATCCGGACGGTACAGAGGCAGCCTCAGACAGCAAAGGGCATAGAGACCTGTCCATGCAGCAGGGAGAAACGAATACGATTTGGCTCGAACAGACGAATGCATCCCTGCCCCCTCGGCTGTTGCATGCACGAAGCCGCACCTTCGAGTGATGATGTGGTCTCCCCACTTCCGGTAAGCCAGCCAAATAATGCGCAGCACCATGGGCTCGAGAAACAGAGGAATCTGCCAATTTGATTTCCTGCAGTGCTCTCTGAATTCAACGAGCCACTGCTGCTCCTCAGGCGTAAGCGGCGTGTGGAAGAATATCTGCCGAATGCGCACTTCTTTCTGCGGAAAAAGACCGCATCGCAGGGCGCCGGAAAAGGGAGGCGTCCTGTGTAGTACCAAGCAGGTAGTGTGAAGAAGAAAGACAGGGTTGTTTTCATGGAAAAATGCTAAGACGAATCATGCAAACGGATGGGGGTGGCAGGATTTAAGAGAGCAGTAAAGAAAGCTGTGCAAAGGCTTCTTGCATCCCAAGCCAGCGTATAGTGCTGAAAGAACGTTTCCCCTCCCCTGCCCTCTCCCCCCGTCCTTCCTTCTCCCCTCGCTCCCCTGAGAGCTGAGCTCGCATAAAAATTGCTCCTGCTCAGAAATCGCATGCAGACGGTCTGCAGGAGACGGCACTTGCAATGAGGCCTACCGAAGTTCCCATGAAAAAAATCTTGTAGATGTCCGTTTCCTGCGGCTTAAAGGTGAAGACCTCTTGAGGAATGCAGAATGGCGACGGTTCACAAGACGTGACTAGGGGAATTTTCCATCCGAATTCAGGCAATTCTTCCGCTGGGACTGTGGAAGCTTTCATCAGCACGTCTCTAAAACGAGCCACTGCCCGGCACCCCGGTGTACAGACACCGCTGCCGGTGGCCTCTCCTCCTTCGCCAGCAGCAGCGCTAGAATCGAGAGCTCTTGCGTCTGTCATTGCTCGAACTCGCGAGCTGAAAGCGTTGCAGCGTCAGCCGAGACCACTGAAGGCAAGAGAGCAGAAGATAAGGGTCTCGTTGCACTGGGGGGAATCTGCGATGCGAGACGCCGCTAGAAGAGCTGCAGTTCCTTCTCAGATGCAGGTGAGCAGGTGCAACAGGCGTCCACGTACAGTTCGATCGTAAATATGCACAGCGAGTCTCCCTTGTCGCAAGTCTCTTTTCTGTGCTCACACGACACGCAAACTGTTGGGATTTCAGAAGGCGTTCCCTGAGGGCGGTTTCCACGCCGCTGCAGCCACCGTGCCTGCGAAGTCGGTAGTACGAAACAACGCTACCCAAGCGCTTCTCCAGCCTCGCCTCCACGTCCTGCAAAGCGGCGATGCAACCAAGCCTGCAGCCTTGCCTCCCTCGGCTTGCGCTGCGGCGACAAGTCGAAATTAGATTTACTAAGGCGGCGCTGGCCGCCTTTCGACTTGGTCCTGCTAGCAATGCATTTGACAGCTTCCTTCTTCCCAACAGGCGCTTCCCCCTCAAGACGGGCTAGCGGTGAGCTTTCCAGCTGGAAATTTTACAAATAGCTGCACACTGTAATCTGGAAGGCACAGTGCACAGCCCGACTTCGCCTGGTGGCTCGACCGACGTTTCCAGTGAATGTTGGGGGATGAGGCAGCTGGTAGACTGCAAGCGTAGATCTGCTGACACTGCCCTTGAGAGAGCAAGGCATGTGAGGTACGCAGAAGCTAGCCCTCGCGGAGCCTTAGCTGGGCCTAGTCACTCCACAGAGAGCCTCAGAGCTGAGTCAAATGTCTCTGAGTTTAGCAGATAAGTTGGAGAAGAACTCGCATTTCACTGTGACATACACAGTGCAGCGTTAATGCAGATTTGTCGAACGGACTGTCAGCCGGCGAGAATGCAACAGCGGCATTCAGGAAGTGTAGGCTGCACTGGACCGGAATCCTATATTTCAAGAATGCAATTAAGACGCTGAACTCGCCAAGCTTGAATAGTGGCAGCTACCTATGCACAGCTGGTGATACGATGGGGCTGCCAGCCATGTTTGCGTCCCGCCCCTACAAACACACATAAGAGGGTCTGAGAACGCATCCCAAGACAGAGAAGAGGAAATAAAAGCAAGTTATTTAGCATATTGAGCCTGTGGAGCTTAACAGGGAGCTAAACTGCAGGGGTGGCAATAAATTACACTCATATCCATGTACGCCGCCTGGGCCGATTCAGGGGAACACAGAAACAAGCCTGCATGTTAGGAAGCATGTCACTGGATCCTTCAATGAAACAGCCTTTAGCAATCTACTTGTAGAATTTTAGCAGCAGTTAAGCTGCGTACCTTTGGGGAATAGAGCTATGGGCCCCGATGAGCTGAATCTGTAAAAAGTGAACTGGTAAGACAACGTTCGAAGAAACCATAATATTCTGATGCGCTCCCCGTATTCAACAGGCTTTATTAAATCTAGAAATGCTAGATAACATAGGCAGATACAATTACAATTGAGACACCACACAGTGTGCTTGCTGAAACGTGACTGGGAGAACAACGCGTAAACAGAAGTAAATTAAAAACATTTCTTTCGATATTGAGCCAATCGCTTGTGCGGCTGAAGATGAAAGCTCCCCTCTTACTGGCTTGTGTACCCAAGGGCTACTGATCAAGCGGGTTAGGCTACATATCAGCACGCTCACTGACGTATGTTATGTTTTGCTAAGACACATTTCTTTCTTTTCACATATCATATCTGCTGCAGAATACTGTTAGCTCGATACCAGAAGACGCAATGCTGCATGCGTGTGCGCTCTATCCTGTGTGTAAGTAGTTGAGCACCGTCGGAGTGCTTACAGAATGCAGCTACGCGCACCCTAGGTGTCCCTCTCCCGTAATGCACGGAAATTAGAGGGGCGCTAGCAGATGAAGAAAGGAGCACTTTGGAACCCTCCAAATTACTTACAATTACTTTTTGTATTGGGTCTGGAGTCAAGAGTCTCCCCACGGAGACCCTAGACTAGACACTACAGTTGGCAGCGATACACAGTATGATGCAGCTGTTCCTCTCCAATGGCCGTGGATGTACTGGAAAACAAGGCTTTTATACAACAGCTTTCTGGGCCGGATCAAACTATTTGGCACCTTGCCTATTCGCTTTGCGTTGGCAGCTTCCTGTAACAAGCATTCTCTGGCGATGGGCATTGCCAATGCCACAACGCCTGTTGGAGCGGCAGAGGACGGCCTGCGAGCTGATGCGAACAAAATACCTAGGTGGCTGGTATAGAAGCATTATTTCGTAGCTGATCAAGTATTTAGGATTGCAGCGATGAGGCTATGTAGACCAGAAAAGTAACATTCCAGCCGTGAGGACGAGTCTGTGCTCGAAGATTTCAGCAGCCAGTTGGAGTAGTGCAACACACTTTACCCCCAAAATAGACAGACTAGTGGTGCTTCGGCACGTTTATTTAAAACCAGAGCACTTCAGTAATGGCTCTATTCACTAATTGGGAGTCCATTGTCTATAGGGATTACTACAGTTCTTGCCTCTAGACAAGCTTAGACTCATCGCTTCATGAGAAGGTCAGTTCAGCAGCAAGCTTTGGGAAAACTGAAAAAAGGTACTTGGGGAAAGCTAGCAAGATATCATTGTATTAAAAACTATTAAGCTGTGGCTCACAAAAGCCACTACGTATTCGGGCAGCTGCGGTATCAGTGTCTCAAGCTCGAGTCTACCCGAAATGTTGCATCAGGTGGTCGGAGATTGGGAAGCGACTAAGCGCTACAAATCCGGGTGATGAGGCATTCACAAATGCTAGGACCCACTACGACTCCCGAGAAATGAAGCGCAAATACTGCGTGCTTGGCGTAGAAGAAAAGACGCAAGTCGAAACTTAGAATGTATGGAAGCAGGGGCAGTGTCAACCGGCCCTAGCCCACAGTATACGGCGAAAGACCAAATCACAGATAAAAAAAACCACGCTACTGAGCAGCCTCAAACAGGCCTCCAAGAATACATCTGCGTCTACTGTGGGAAATCCGGTCACGTACTACTGAGCTGCAAGCGCCTACAAAAGGCTAAAGAACTTGGACAACAGGGCTGGGCTCGATGGAAACAGGTTGCTTGGCAAAAACCAAGGCGCATCTGGGAAACGGGCTGCCGCCAAAGCAGGCCGTATTGCCGTGAAGGGACTGCAGAGGAAAAAGTCGCAGTTCAAGACTCACCACGAGTTAATCCTGCCATGATACGAATCCACATCGAAGGCTGGGAGTTGCTAGCGTTGCTTGACACTGGACGTAAAGTGGACTTGTTTTTGGAGAAGATAATACAGAATTGCAGTATGCTTGTTCACTCGATAGCGCAGGCCTTAGGAATCCGGGTTGCTGCCTGGAGGCAAAGCGGAAGTATTGCAATGTCGTTGCAGATAAAATGTTACTTCAAGTCGAACTAGGGCCCTATTAGCATGTCCCGAGTATTCTGCTTTGGATCCATGCTCTATGACGCAAACCTAGGTATGCCATGTGCGACCCAATGGAAGGTGCACTTGGGGCCCCAGCTGCATGCTGTGGAGTTTAGTGTGCTAAAAATCTTTGAAATGAAGTGGCTGCTGGTATCCTCAGCAACGATCATTTTATCTGTGGTTAGCGGGATGGGGTCGGCACCTCAGCAGGGTGAGGTGAAGTCTCCATACGGGCCGCTCGGCAGCGCAGTTAAAGAAGACCCGCCTGATTACTCATCCAATATAAATCTTCGCAATAGGTCCTATACAGAAAGACTCAAATGAGGCTGCAGCCAAGGAGC